CCCCCTGTGTACCAGCAGTTAGAAGACTAGTGTCTCATGCAGCTTGGTTCTTTCCCCCCTCTGGGCAGGCTGCCCTCCTCTTGAGAGGATTGTCACTGAGGGCCATCCTTCATTTTCTGTCTTTTTCACATTCATTTGTGGCTGCTTCTGAGAGCCCCCCACTGGATCTGGAGGGAGTTCTGTGAAGAGTATTTTATTTGGTCTTGTGTCACTGTCACTTCATGTGACCAGTACTTTTTCCCATTTCTTGTAAGTGTGGACCATATTGCCAGCGATCTGCTGGGTCCATTTAGACCTGGCAAAATCAATCCTGACTGCTGAGGGGAAATGCTCTTGGGTGCTTTATCTTTCTGGGAGGGGAGTGGATTGTCACATCTGTGGGAATTAGATGCTGTAGCCAAACTCCAGGCTTAATTATGCCACTCAGTAAAGTGTGAATTCCCAGAGGAAAGGGCATCTGTTGAGAATTCCCACCAGAAATCAGGGAAAATCTTACAGATAAATTTGTTGCTAAAGAACTGCCTTCTGGGGCCCAGGCTGAGGGCAGGGTTCACAGGGTACAGAAAGGATCTGACAAAGAAAGGTCATTGAAGGAGTGGAGCTGTTGGGACCAGGTTGGCTCTTTCTCTTTGCCAGGTGGAGGTCATTCAAGTCCCCCTGGGGGGTGGGGGGCTCTATGCTCCAGTGAAATTCCTGGAGAGCCAGGATCTGTTTGCCTGGCTTATAGGACTTAGGAGTTTGGCCTTGTTTTCCAAGTGCCCTCTGCCAGTTGGCCTGGAGAGAGGGCAGTGCCCGCTGAGGCCCTCTGCCCATGGTGAACTATCCCCAGACGGCCCTTGGAGCCCGTGTGCTGCGCCATCTTCATCCACTGGTCTTTGGGATGAAATATTCCCCTTTGTTCCAGGTTTTTGTTGGGAGAGTGCGTGGCAAAGTGGTCTCCAAGATGCTGGGACATGGCAGTAACTGAAGCTAGGTTAGAACTCCAGACCCCTACAGGGCCACTTCCAGCCACCCACTCTGGAGGTCCCATAAAGGGCCTCCATGCAGCTGAACAGTGAGGTTCTTCATTTCCAGGCGGGTTTCCCTAACCAACAGTTAACCCCTTTAGCCAGCTACCCTTCCTAGAGAAATAGCTAATTTGCTTCAATTATTTGGTTCTAATGGACAGGGAAGGAGTCCAGGAAGAGTAAGGAAGGGAGGAGCAGAATCCTTGGAAGAGAAATTGGCCTAGCCATACTAGTAAATTATTATGACTTGACAAGTCAGGGTAGTTGGCCAGGGCTCAGCTTCTTGCTTGCCTTCAGTTCAGTGTCGCTTGAATGTCTTACTGAATCAGTGAGTCATATGTATAATAGCCCACAATCTGTGTTATTCCACCATCTTTATTTTTTAGAAGATTCCAGCATTCAGGGAAGTGATCCTCTCCTGAGTGCATCATTGTATTGCAGTTATTGGTACCTTGAACCTGGGGGTGTGGAGGCTGAGTTTATGCCAGCCTCTAGGGCACAGATGCCGCTGCCCAGCAAGCTTTGGGCATGGCCTGCCAGCTACAGAGATGACCTACCGCTGCTTCAGAACCTTCCTGTTTGTTTACTTTGGCCTGTGGAGTGTATTTTTGGTGCTTCCATTTTCCCCTTTCTGATGGAACTGTGGCCTCTATTCTTTCACAATAACTGCTTTGCTGATCGTGTGCCCTGGGTAGGAACCCCGCATAATCAGAAATGCTGGGAAGGCAGTTGGATTGGTGAATAACAGAATCTGAGGAGGCATCTCATTACGCAGGAGTTAACCCCAAGAACAAAAAGTTGTTTGCCAGTAAATTATTGTTATGATTGTATGTATTTAGTTTTCCATCAGTAACCCTCCCAACAATCCAGGGATTGTCTCCCGATTTCTCAGTGTGGAAGCAGGTGGGAGAGAAAGGCAGAGTTTCTTACACACATGGACATGTAGATGGTGATTACAGCCTTTCGGGATAATGTAAATATTGCTTGGGTTTGTTTATGTTGAATGTTGTCCATGTGTGGCACTGTGCAGACAGATGCTTATGGTTGATTTGAGCATTACATGTTTATCCAGATGTGTGGCCCCTTCTCTCTAGCTTTAGGTGAGGTATTTCCACTTGAATAGGCCCAATACTCCCTCCCACCATCCCAGGAGCATCCCAGCTACCTGGGTCTCAGAGTTATTTGAGCCTCCTTTGCTCTCCTCCTCTGTCCACCCTGAGGTCTTGTGAGTTCTCCCATTTCAGGCTCGACTTAACCTCGTTTTTTAGCCACATCCTCTGGTTGCCTTCATGTGAACTTGTTTCTTTTCTGCCTTCAGCCCCGACTGCACAGATTGCCCAGGCCCTCCTTGCTCGTTTCCCAAGGAGCCCCTCAGGGACTGTCCTATGTCAGGGGAACTCCTGCCCTGTTTTTACAGCTGCTCATTAAGTTACTCAGAGCTTCTGTTAGGTCTTCTGTATATCGGGACCATCCTTTAATTCTTAACACAGTTCTTCTTGGCTCTTCCTCTTGGAAAGCACCACTTAGAACTCATTGATCTAGGAAGGCCTTCTAGTTTGATTCATTAAGTATAGTTGATGCCTCATGTACCGTGTTTCCAAGATAGAGGTTAGAAGGACGTCCCGCGGGCCGTAGTTTGCCCACGGCTGGGTTAGAAGGACAGGGAGATGTAGTCCTGGGGAGGCAGCAGTGTACAGCCTAGGAATTGCAGCAGGACCAAGTGGGCACACAGCAGTCGGAAAGGGCTCTGGAGAAAGTAGCACTCAAGCTGGGGTTGAAGGGATGAGTGGAATTCGATCAGCAGGGAAATGAGTAGGACACAGGCTGCAGGCTCGAAGGAGCAGAGACAGACAGGAGTAGACATTCTGCATGTGTTCTGGGATGCTAGCATCCTACTCAGCTGGATCGGAAGTGGTGTGCATTTTCTGTGTTTCCTCAGTTCCAAGCCTTTCGGGCACACCACAGACTTAGTAACAGCTTCTTTGTGTGTTTGCATGTGTGGGTCTTGGTGGTGCTGGGGGTGTGTGACTTATACATGGACTGCACAATACACTCCGACCTCAGAAGGGTTAAAAAGTGAAAAATAATGAGCATCTCAGACTTGAGGAAACACAGGTGGGAGACTGCCAGTGTGCTGAGGCATTTGGACTTCATTCTGAGGGCGTGGTGAGCCGTGGAAAGTTGTGAAACTGAGAGATAGGATCTGTCTGTCTGCCCTGCTTTCATCGCAGAGACTGAGCAGTGAGAAGAAGGAGAAGAGGGAGGGAGGACTGAACGGGTTGCTGAATTGCTGAGAAGAGGCAGGTACAGAGGAACTGTGGCCAAAGGGACACATGTCATCAGTGGGTTGGGTGAAAAAGAGGGTAGATAGTGAACAGGGGGAGATTTCTGGTCAAGGGAGGGCAGGGAAGCCCATCACAGGGGAGCTTTGTTTGGGGAGTGTGGCATCCACGCACCCACGACTTGCTCCTGATTATCTCAGCACTTAGGAGCAAGTGTGCACTTGGCCTCTGCTTCTTTGTATCGTTCCTGCATTTGATACTAGGTGTCAAGCTGTATCTATGGGAGGTCTGGGGAGGCTCTTACTGAGGAGATGGCTGTTTACAGTTGGTTCCCTGGCAGTGTTTTGACACCCACCCTCCCCCAAGATGTTGCCAGTGCTTCGAGGTTTTGTGGCTTTGTATCCAGTGGAGTGGAACCAGCATGAGCTGCCTTATGTTTCAGGGCAGAGTGACAGACGTGAGCATAATGAATGGAGCCTGACTACTGGGGCTGCAGGTCCGCCTGGGACCTGTCCCCAGATGGCTTCAACCTCACCCCTCCATTCTCACCATTCTGCTTTTAAAACTGAGCCACCAGCCCTAGCTGGTTTGGCGCAGTGGTTAGAGTGTTGGCCTGCTTAGTCGGTGAGGATTCGATTCTGGTCAAGGGCATGTACCTCGGTTGCAGGCTGTATCCCTAGGCTCCGGTTGGGGTGAGTGCGGGAGGCAACCAATCGATGTGTCTCTGTCACATTTATGTTTCTCTCTGTCTCCCCCTCCCTTCCTTCCACTCTCTGAAAATCAATGGAAAAAGAATATCCTCCGGTGAGGATTAACAAAAAAACGGAGCCACCATTTGTGTGGATGACTCGGGTGACTCTGCTGGTCTCTGTTCTCCAGGAGGCATTCTGTAGGACAAGGGAGAATGAAAATGCATTAATTAAGGAGCGTGGGAGGCTTGACCAGGGAGGCAAGCTGGCAGAGTGGCTACAGGAACAGGCCCTTGGGGACGCACACCTGGATTTGAGTCTGGGCCCTGTTCCCTACCAACTGGGCCCCCTTGTGTGTGCTACTTAGCAGCGCACTCTTGGAGCTTTGGGTTTCTCATCTGTAAAAGGAGGTAATCGCACTTCTTTTTTTTTTTAATCCTCACTTGATATTTTTTCCATTGATTTTTAGAGAGAGTGAAAGGGAGGGGCGGGGGAGAGAGAGAAACATCAATGTGAGACACATTGATTGGTTCCTGAGGTACATCACCTTGAGCGGGAATCAAACCCGAGACCCTCGGTCTATAGGCTGGCGCTCTAACCATTTAGCAAACTGGCCAGGGCATAATCGTACTTCTTGTATCAGTATATTCTGGGAGACCTTAGGGATGTCAACTCTGGACAAGGAGCCATCCCCGAGGAGCCAATGTTAGAGCAAGTAAACAAACCTTTAGTAAGATGCCTTTTGATAGTGAAAAATGCTAAAACATGATGTGACAGAGTGATGGGGATGGTGGTGAGTGGTTTCATATTAGGTGGGCAGTCCAGTCGAGACCTCAGTGACAGGAAGGAGCCTGCCATGGGGAGGCCTAGGGGCGGAGCACATAAGGCAGAGGGAACTGCAGGTGAGGGGGAGGGTAGAGAGGAGCCGTAGCCATGGCTTGGGCTTGCTGAGGGGAGGAGATGTGTAAAACAGGCACACAGTACCTGGTCCTCATGGACAGCTGGCCGTCTCCTGCTCTGGGCTTTGTGCTGACCCCATGCCCGCCTCTTTCTCCCACCAGTGCACTGTCCAGGTCAAGTTAGAGCTGGGACACCGGGCCCAACTGCGCAAGAAGCCCACCACGGAGGGGTTCACACACGATTGGATGGTGTTCGTCCGCGGCCCCGAGCAATGTGAAATCCAGCACTTCGTGGAGAAGGTGGTCTTTTGGCTGCATGACAGCTTCCCCAAGCCCAAGCGTGGTGAGTGGCCCCTGGCTCCCCCTCCCCTCCCAGCCAGGCAGCCCCACAGGGTCTACTAGTGCCTACAACACTAACCAGTTTGCGTCACTCCTTGCAAGGCTGGTGTTCACCTTCTCTCCAGGGGCGGCGGGCTCACACTCTGAGGTTCTGGCTTGCACCCCTCGGCATGCCAGTGAGAAGTTTACCGGCCAGCACTTGGTCCTTCTTTGACCCTGTAAAGGTCCCCCTCCCTCCCTTCTGCTCCTTTGCTATGGAGTTCATAGTAGGAAAAACCCAAAGGAACTGATGACTGTGTCTCATGTCATTATTTAGACTCAGGCTCTGAGTAGTCTCCAGAGAAAACATAGTCAGTGGCCAGTGGGTGGGAATGGGTGGTTTACACCCACTTGGTGAGTAATCAGGAATTGCTTATTGGGCCTACATTTGATGAGAGATGCCATTTTAAGAACTCATGATACTTGTGAGGGGGGACAAAGCATAAAATGTGCTCATTTCACCACTGTCTTGTTTCTTATGTCTTCCTTTCCTGTGTCACCTCTCAGACTGTTGTTTGATGAGCACAAGTGCCTCATTCACGCTTTCCACGAAGATTCGGATTTCCTGTGACCTGGCAGTCTGACAGGGTAGAAAGAAGGGGATCAGAGAACACTTCCTGGGGAATTTGACGGGGCTCTTAGGAACATAGTTGGTAGCCATCTTATGAGCTCTGTGGGGCCATGTTTGCTCTTCTCATCATTGAGTCCCCGTTGTGAAGCCTGGCATGTCACAGGGGCCCAATAAATATTTCTTGAATGGATGTGTTGATGAAAGCATGAAGGACTTTTTGCTAGCAAAGTGCTTCAGGGTTGGGGAGCCACTGCTGCACTGCTGACCCCTCTCCTTGCAGGACAGGGTTTAGGTGCCCAGGGCTGAGCCGGAAGCCAGCTTGGACAGACCCTATGGGGTCTGGGCCTGGGTCAGCAAGTAGCTGACTTACGTTACAGAAGCAGAAACTTCTGGTTAAGAAGGGAAGGCAACCTGAGATTCCTATTCTGGTTTCTTCTGTCAGCGTTCAGTTGTTTCTTTCCTTCATTTCTCTTTTCCCGAATCTTTTCTCTCCTTTCTCTCTGAGCTGCTTGTAGGAGAGCAGACATGTTACTGACAGCAGATACCTGTAAAGCACCTATTAATAATAATAATAATAATAATAATAATAATACATCAATGATGAGAGAGAATCATCGATTGGCTGCCTATTGGGGATCAACCCGCAACCCAGGCATGTGCCCTTGACTGGAATTGAACCTGGGACCCTTCAGTCCATAGGCCAACGCTCTGCCCACTGAGCCAAACCAGCTAGGGCTCCTGCAGGGCCTTGATTCATTCTCCCCATAACTCTCTTTTACAGATGGGGAAACAGCCTCCAGTGGGCCAGGTAAGCTGCCTGTACTTAAAGCAGTGGTTCACACACTGGCCTGGGGGCCTGCGTGGTAGCGCTGCCTGTTTCTTTTGGCACCCGGCCATGCCCATTCACTTGGGAGTCCTCTAGGGCCGCTGTTGAGCTTTAACAGCAGAGTAGAAACTGGCTGCCTTTTTCCTGTGAGTTGGGCCGGCCTTGTTTCCCTAGCAGCTTCCACTCTAGCTCTTTCACCATCTCCCTCGCTTGTCCTGTTCCCTTTTCTCCCAGTGGACTCAGGATGATTATATCCATTCACCTTTAAACTATTTCATTTTTGCCCCTACAGGGTCAGTAACCAAGCAGCTACTAGAAGTAATATTAATAGTGGTCTGCATTTGCCAAGCACTCACTGGTCTGTGTGCTGTGCTCATGACAGCCCTGCGACATGGTATGTCCCAGAATTCCTGCCCGGTAGATGTGGAAACAGGTTCAGAGAGGCCCTGTATCCCACTTATGGTCATGGTCATGTGGAAGCAGCATAGTCTCTGAGTTCCAAGCTCCAAGAAAATGGGTGATGAGTGAGGTCCACTTTCTTAGTGTCGGTTAGTGGGTAGAACTTAAATTAGTAGTTGAATGGTGCTTGCCAAGTCTACTCACACTGTGTGAAATAGTAAATGTCTGGTTGGCTATTTATTGTGTTGAACAAAACTTGATTGGATTATACCCTGCCAGTTGTCAATGAAAAATGGAACAGGTTAAAGAGTGAATGAGGCCCTAGCTGGCTTGGCTCAGAGGATAGAGCATTGGCCTGCGTGCTAAAGGGTCCCAGGTTCGATGCGGTCAAGGGTATATACCTTGTTGTAGGCTCCCCCTGGCCAGGGCCCTGATCAGGGTGCATGCAGGAGGCAACCAATCGATGTGTTTCTCTCACACCGATATTTCTCTCTGTCTTTCCCTCTCTCTTCCACTCTTTCTAAAAATCAGTGGAAAAATATCCTTGGGTGAAGATTTAAAAAAAAAAAAAGAGTGAATGAGTTTCTTACAGGACTCTTGGCTCTGAAATTATACGTTATGCACTTTAAAAGGTATCTTTAAAATCAGATAAATACACATAATAGGAATGTACCAGCTGGGAAGTTTCCATTTCTCGGGCCATCACTGTTCATATTGCCCCAGGGCCAGTCTTTCTAGTTTTTTCCTGATTGTGTTCTTCCTGAATGCCTTAAGTTAGTGGAAGTGAATTGGCTTCTTAATTCTTGATTTCAAATTTAAAAAATATTAATTTACCAGCATGAAAAGCTAGACTTTTTACTAAACTCCCAACTCCTTTTATTCGCTATCTGCTCTAAATGTTTTATAGTTAAGTGATTCATTTTGTGGTGATTGTCCTTGTGACTTTAAATAATGAGCATACCTGCTTACCTTTTGGATTCTCCACAAAGGCTCCCTGTCACCCATTTTAAACAAGTCCTCTGGCTGCCAGGTCTAACTCACAGTTTCTTTGTTCAGAACACCTAAATAGCCACATGCTCCTGGCCTTTTTTTCTATTTTATTTTTCTCTTTAGTACCATTTTAACATATTTATATTACTTACCTTGTTCATCTGGGTTGTGTTCTGCTACAGTTTGCTGCTATCTCCTTGGTGCTGAAAGGATTAGGTAGGTGCTGCCAGCTTCTGTCAGTATCTTCTGACTTTCTGCTTAGGAAGAGAAGGACATGAGCACCCCTATCTTTCCTTGAATCTTAACACCCCTCCTTGACGTTGTTAAAGTTGTTGAACTCAAACCGAGACTTTCACTCCGGGATCAGAAATTGACTAAAAGCTGGAAACCAGTAAGAAGTATTGACTTCATTGACTCTGTTCACTGTTGGGCTAGTCAGGATGCCAGGTTTTCATTCATTCTCTCTGAACTCTGGGTCACTCACAGAAGAACATTCAAGGTAATGTCAAGGCAGATGGGTTCTTTCTTTATCATTCTTGGTTAAAATTCAGTCCTGGGTCTTTTGCTTCATGTTTGGACCCTAACTTTTTGAATACCCCTTTGCTTCTCCCTTTTCTCCTGTTGCATTGTGTCTTCATTATACCTCCACTTTTTTCTATCCTCAATCATTTCATTTAGTCAATGGATTTTTCCTGCCCTGAATATTTCATTCTGGTTCTCTCTGTCTTCCTTCCTCTAACAAGGGCTGGCTCCTCTCAAAGCCACCTCTCTAGTCACCCCGCTGGGATGTTCCTTTACTGTTCTCCTGAGCGGATTTATTTGTTACCTTATGTTTTGTTTTGTTTTGTTTTTCTGGAGAATTTCACAAGTAATGTCCTAAGAGATTGATTACTTAGGACATTTCCCAAGAAAAGTAAGTGGGAAATGAACTTTTTGACTCCTAGTATGTTTGAAAGTACCATTATTCTGCTCTCACACTGGGGTGCTAGTGTGGCTGAGTATAAAATTCTAGTTTGAGAATTACTATCGTTTAGAGCTTTGAAAGTATTTGCTTCGTAGTCTTCAGAAAAGTCTGATGCACTTGGGTTCTTGTTTTATTGTAAATGACCTGTTTTTTCTCTAGAAGCATTTAAGCTACTTTTTAAGATATTGGTTCTGAGGGTTTTTTTGTTTTTGTTTTGTTTTTTTTTCTGTGATGTCCTTCATTTAGCTCCAGAAAGTTTTCTTTTATCTTTGATTATTTCTTTTCATCTATGTATTTTATCTGTTTTCTCTTTCTAGGATGGTTATTACTTCTCTGTGTCTAAATATTTTATCTGTAAAATGGAAACAATTGTATTTGCCTCAAGGTTGTTGTAAGGATTAAATGAATTAATATTTATCAAGTGCTGATAATAGTACCTGGCACACAGTAGGTGCTTTATAAATATTAGCTGCTGTTAGCATTTGTTTGACCTTCCGAATTGTTTCTTCATGTCTCACCTTTTTCTTTTAAGAAACATGTTTTTTTGCTCTACATTCTAGGAAATTTCCTTAGCTTTAGTCTTTGCATGGAATTAAAAGATTACCAGTACTATATTTATACTAAAAGCCCTATCTTATTCCCTTATTTTCCCTTTTAAAATTATTTTTGTTTTGGGGCATATCTTAGACCTGAGGACAATGACTCCAGCTTCTTGTTTTTAAAAAGATTTTAAATTGATTTCTAAAGAGAGAGGAAGAGGGATAGGGAGAGATGTGAAAGTGAGAGATGTGAAAGTGAGACATTGAACCAGGGATGATGCTCAGCCAGGACTTCAAACATTTCTTTAAAATTCTCACCTGAGGACATTTAAAAAAAATTTGATTTGAGAGAGAGAGAGAGAGAGAGAGAGAGAGAGAGAGAGAGAAAAGAAAGGAAAGGAAAGGAAGGAAGGAAGGAAGGAAGGAAGGAAGGAAGGAAGGAAGAAAGAAAGAAAGAAAAAGAAAGGAAGGAAGGAAGGAAG